TATTTAGACCTTCTGCATTCTATGCCCTCAAAGATATACCACCACAGCATTGTCAGTAAAATTATGGATTCCTCAAAGTCTCTCCTGTACAGTAGTGTAAATATTATATTGACATATATTATATAGGATTGTCTATACTAAAAATGTATATATGGCGTATGTAAATATAAAGTATATATGTATGATTGTCTTTGTTCTATTTTATAGACAGAAACGAGACGACTCAAAATTGACAAAATAAAATAACGTGAAATTTTAAATTTAAAAGGATTATAGGTAAATGACACAGTTTTTAGGTATTCAGGATGACTGAATAGAACTTGAAATATTCACTATCTTTACAGTTTTTATTGGCACATTTTATTGGTTACTACAGACACATAACCATCAAAATGAACATAAAATGAAGGCTTTTAAGAGTGTCTGTAAAATATACATCAATGATAAAAAAGGAAAAGCATCTCTGTTTCTCCTAATCCATAAGACTACTCAGAGTGACTGTGGATCACTCAAACTAATGTCCTTAGTCCCTTCACAGATATCTAAGCCATTTAAATTATTGAGTCATGCCTCAATGATATGGTCAGTAACTCAAAAATGTTTCCTATTACATAAAATAAATCTTTAAAAAAGTGAGTCAGAAAAACGACAAGAGGGAAATGTAACAAAAAAGAATAGAAGCCAAGATTCCTCAAGTTAAAATTTAAGAAAAGGCATCGAGAAAAGGAAGAGATAAATTTTCAAAATTACTTAGGAATTGTATGTCTTAACTCATTCAACAAACATTATTAAAATCTATCTCTCTGCTGAGACCTGTTAGGTAATAAATTCTATTAGATAACAAAGATATACAGAGCTCAGTACGACAAACAGATGCATTATCAGGGCAAAGAGATATTGAATGCAAACAAGTAAATTAAAATGTTAAAATGTCATTCGATATTAAGCTAATCTAAAACAGCACAGAGAGAGTTCCCAATCTTCCTTTAAGATGCAGCTCAAATGCTTTCTTTATGAATCCCCCCTTTTTTGTGCAAATCTTCTGTGCCATAATCACATATCACTTGCCTTATACGAGTTTTATATCATATTACATTAATGGCCAACCTAGATATTTCAATAAACTATGAGCTTGAGAGCAGATATTATATTCTCTGCTAAGATTATATTCTCTAACTAAGACAGATTGATTTAGGATGGCATCAGAGATTTATTAGGTGGCTGCTCCCCTATCGTTTTCTACTTATGGCACTCTTGTTTCCCAATAATCACCCTACTTTTTATTTCCATGCTTTAAGGTATTTCAGGACTGACAGAGAAAGCTGTAAGATACCCAGTGAAGCTATAATGGCCTCCAACGCAAGCCTTGGGCAAATTGGCATGGCTCAAATCCTTTGCATTTTCTTTTTTCTACCATTAAATATGCCTCTCTACTCTCTCCAAACCTGAACCTACTTGGACCTGTTCAAATTATTCTGTCCCATGTGGCAGACCCTGCTTACCTACAAACCAAAGTACCTTTGGGTCCCATTTTCTCAAGAATCTGTTTTTTAAAAGTTTCAATGTCTAAACTAAAAATTTTAGTGCCTATTTCAATAAGGAGGAAAAAATTACCCTTCTGAGGTATCCCACATTCATTTTTAAGGGGGCTTTTTATAAAAGTTTTCTATCCATAAAGCAAACTCTACATATATTAATCAAAACCACTGAACAGGGAGCATTCTTTGCTGGCAAATAGGTGAGAAGATTAATTTACTTATGACATGATAATAATATATGATATAATAATATATCATTACTTAACAAACCACTTTGGCTGCACACATTCAGGCACTCTAGGTACCTTATTTACATTACTTCATTCAATTCACACAGTAATACTTGTGAAAGTAGAGTGTGTGGATGTTCTTGTTTCTATGATACATATGTATACAGTATGACAAAGAGAAGATACTTTTTCTAGAATTGCTCAGCTGGTACAAGAAAGATCAAGATTTGATCTTAAATCTGCCAGACCCCAAAATAAAATCTCTTCTAAGAATCCCCCTAAAAATGTTACTGTGGCAAATTCTGTTGGTCGTTTATTAAAAATGTTTATTTTTGTCTTTCTTAGCTTCCTTTGCAGTAAAGTGTGAACAAGTGCCTGAGTACTAGCCAATGAAATCGTAATAGAAATCATCTGTTCCACTTCAGGCCAGGTGCAAAAATGCCTCCCATTTCCCTCTGCCAGTTTGATGTTGATGAAGTAAGGTAATCTTGAAAGCCAAATGCTAAATATGGCAAAATTTCTATTAGTCTGAGTTTTTGAATGACTATGTGGTATAGAATCCACCTGCATACCCTTTACCTCTAACTCTACTGGATCTGCCTTAAACTACTGAATGATTAAAATATTATTCTCTATTGTGCTTTATTCTTTATACATTTTAAAATTCTATTTGTTACAGCATCTAGCCCTAACTAAAACAGTCTCATGTACAAATGTAATCTCAAAGGACTTTCCTGAGGAAATAAACCCTAGGCTAAATTATACTCATAACTATATTTTCCAAAATTTGAATAACTTAGTAAAATAAATTTACCTCGTATTTTAAATATGGCATCAAAAATATTAACTTTACAATGAGAAAATTATTTTGGGTTAATATTCTAATTGTACTCTCTCTCACATAATGTTAGTCTCTTGCCTAGAAATTATTAACCATTCTGTCAACATGAAAATGCAAGTGAATAAGGCCTCAGATACAATAATAAAACTGGACCACCATCTTGACCATTTATATCTTTCTATTAATACTATTCTATTAATATTCATCCTTAAAATGTAAATTTTAGAAACAATTTATAGACCATAAATATTCATTTTGAATTACAGATCCAAAATGGTATATACTACACCTTCACTATTTATGTTAAATATTTTCTTCCATGTGTTTCTATGTACTTGTTTATTTCATGTATTTCCATAATTTTCTCTATACTTATCTTGTTTAGTGTCTCATTCAAGCACTGGAAAATTAATAAAAATAAAGTATTTTGAGTGTGTAGGCCCTGTAACATGAATGAAGACATACAGAAAACTGAACTGAAAAAAATATACAAAGCAACTTTAGGAAATAACACTGCATTTGAAAATACAGTTTAGTAACACAGTAATCATTGTTTAGTCATATTTTGACTTTGAAATACACTGACATGAAGGGAAGAAACTGGATCAAATCTAACTTAAGATGAGGTGGCCTTAAATGTCAACTTCAAGATCGAAGTAGTGATTATCAATAAGCATAATACAAATACATTAGTAAAACACAAACCTTTCACAGGTTTGCTGCCAATTTTAAACAATATCTAAAAGTTACCATTGTTACAACTGAGTACACATACTAAAATGGGAGTGTCTGCTATATGTAAAGTTTCTTGAGTTATCTAATGCAGTACAGAACAGGATGTTACAACTGAGTACACATGCTAAAATGGTCGTGTCTGCTATATGTAAAGTTTCTTGAGTTATCTAATGCAGTATAGAGTAGGGTTCTTTGGTCTCTTTAATTGATATGCTATCTGCTAAAAAGTCAAGGCAGGATCTTTGCATTATTCTTAATTTTTCCCAGATTTTGAATAACGCTTCAAAATGGTGATTACCTTTGTGAAGCAGAGGAAAGAAAGGCAGGTGAAAGAACAGGGAGGAACATACAGCTTTTATATAATATTTTACAATTGGTTGTGGGTTTATAAGCATTGATTATATTATTAAATAAATAAATAAATATAACAGAAAATAGAGGTAAGTCATGCAAAGGATATGGATACTGAATCATGATTAATTTATCTGTTGACGTAATATCCTAAAATAAAAAAGAAGTAAGCCTATGATAAGGAAAGATCATACCTTTACTCTTACCGCTATGTGTGAGCATCTTTGGCTTGGGAGTATTGAGAGAAGAGAATAGCAAACAGTTGTTCTTTTTTACACAGCAGGAAGATCAACCCAGTAAATAACTATTGAATCTTTTATAGATACTATGAGAGTCTTATATAGCAGTGATGATTGTGTGTTAATTATAACTGATGGCTTTATGCGCGTTAGGGTCTTTTTAATACTTTTAAGATATGCCACCAAAAATTCTGATTTTTTAAAAGTGTGCTCAAATAGAAAGAGTTGGGTAACTACTTGTCTGGAAGACATTGAAAACAATGAAATACTTTAGCAATATTCTACTTTAAAATGCTCTAATGAACTCCAGAGGAGTCCTTAAAAGATCTGGGACAAATTTGTATTTTGCTGGAGTCTATTAGCCCATTACAACCCCAAATTCGGGATGAATCCAGAGACGATTTTCTAGAGTTACTTAAGCTTACCAAAGTTTTTTAAAAGCCTAACTTAAGAAGCCGTATAGTTCAGTGACTTTATTACTAGATTGGATTCAAAAAACCCAAGTCTAGTCACTCACTCACTCTCTGGTCAGAGCAAAATACCAACAATCTCTCTGCTTTGGTTTCCTCCTCTGAAAAAGGGGGATAATCAAGATACCTATGATAGAGAGTTACTGTGAGATTTAGGTTAACATACATAAAGATCTTAGAATAAGATTAATGCCCCACATACAGTAACAATTCCTAGACATTAGCTATTATACCCTTTACAGAAACGTCATGGCTTACAGAGAGCTCCAAGAAAGGCATTTCAATTGTTTTAGTATGGCAAACATTTAGAGGGGGCCGGTTCATAATACCTACTTAAGCCAAAGCAGACGCAAACCAATGATTCTAATATGTATTATATTTTTTACTTAATGACATGAGCAGTTTTAATTATTTCTTAAAAGAAATTTTTTAAATATCTCTAACTGTGATTTTTACTCCTCAGTCCACAGAGGAAAATAAAATTTAAGAATTTTTTCAGCCAGACACGGTGGCTCACACTTGTAATTCCAGCACTTTGGGAGGCCAAGGCGGGCAGATCACAAGTTCAAGACATCGAGACCATCCTGGTCAAAATGTTAAAACAAAAATTAGCTGGGCATGGTGACGCGCACCTGTAGTCCCAGCTACTCAGGAGGCTGAGGCAGGAGAATTGCTTGAACCTGGGATGCATCATTGCACTCCAACCTGGGCAACTCCATCTCAAAAATAAAAAGAATTTTTTCAAAGCTTTTATCATAACTTCCTAAATTCTGAAAAAATAAGAATGTATCTATACATAAAAACAAAAATCATTCTGATTTATAATCTGATTGTTTTCAAAGAACAATAAATGCATGTTATTCCATTTTAATGACTGCATATTAATCAATTGTATTGGTATAGAATATTTACGTAATCATTTAATCCCATATTTTAGACATTTTAAATAATCTTTATCATAATTTTTTCCTATTATTAAAAATATACATACATGTCCTATTTTTCCAGATGTCAGAATATTTTTCTGGAATATAGTTATAAAAAATATAAAAAATCAGAATGGCCTTTTAAAATACATATTGCTAGACAGGGCATGGTGGCTCATGACTGTAATCCCAGAACTTTGGGAGACCAAGGCAGGAGGATCACTTGAGCCCAGGAGTTTGACACTAGACTGGGCAACATGGTGAAACTCACTCTCCACAAAAAATTCAAAACTTAGCTAGGCATAGTGGCATGCTCCTGTAGTCCCAGCTACTCAAGAGGCTGAGGTGAGAATAACACTTGAAAATGAGAAGTCAAGGCTGCAGTGAGCCATGGTGACAGAGCCTAGGTAACAGAGGGAGCCCGTCTAAGAAAGAAAGGAAGGGAAAAGAAAGTGAGGAAGGGAGGAAGGGCGGGAAGGAGAGAGGGAGGAAGGGAGGGAAGGAAAGAGAGAGGAAGACAGGGAGGGAGGGAGGTAGGGAGGGAGGGAAGGAAAGAGAGAGGAAGAGAGGAAGAGAGGGAGAGAGGGAGGGAGGGAGGGAAGGAAGGAAGGAAGGAAGGAAGGAAGGAAGGTAGGTAGGTTGGTTGGAACTTTGTCATCCAAATCAATGGGATTTTACTAGGTGACCTGTTAAGAGACTGCTCCCTTTCCTATTACCTTAACTACATGATTTTTAAATTCTGCCAAGCTTATGGTCAAAGACTGTAGAAAAGTGTTAATTCCATGTCCATATATTTGACAAAATATGAACATTTCTCACATTTTCAACTGTCTGTTGCTTTTGTATTTTGTTCATCTTCCTATCAGGGCAGCTATTTATCTTAGTTCCTGGAAAGGTTTTAATCTATTAAGGATATAAATCATTTGTCAAATGTATCAACTAACTTTCCCAGACTTATTTTCATATTGTTTATAATGTCCATAGTGTTATTTTAAAATCAGTAACACTTTACTTACCAAAATTAGGACTATGAAGCATCATATAGCCATTTGAAACATGTCATTTTTGAGAAATGTTACAAGAAAAGGAAAAGGTGCATGGTGATAATATATGAAAATAATAATCAGGAAATAAATTTTTATATGTATAAATAAGTCAGTGATCAAATCAAAGATCATGAAAATATAACCTGATATATATATATATATACACACACCTACATATGTATATGTGTATAGTATATATGTGTGTGTGTGTGTGTGTATATATATACACACACACACACACACACATATACACTATACATATATACATGTGTGTGTTATATAGGGGTGTATATGTATGTATATATATACACACACGTATATATACACCCCTATATAAAATATAACCTGATATATATACACACCTATACATATATATGTGTATATGTATATGTGTATATGTGTATGTATATATGTATATAATACATATATATGTATATAATGGGATTTTACTAGATTACCTTATTAAGATACTGCTGCTTTTACTAGGTTACCTTAAGAGACTGTACATATATATACACACATACACATATACATATATATATACACACACACACCTATATATAGGTATAAATATATGCATATATAGGTATATATCTATATAAAATAATGGATATATACATATATACATATACATATATAGGTATATATATAAAATAACTTCAATGTTGGAAAAGAGAATGTATATTTAATGCAGTAAAGATATGTAGCAAAATATTCATTCTCTCTGGGTAATGGGGTTATGGGTGCTTTGTTTTATTCTCTTTATTCTTTTCTCTGGAGCACATATATGTGGTTTTTAAAATCAGGAAAATGTATTAGTAAAACCAAATTTTATTCAGTGACAGCTGGAACCAAATATTCAACATAAGAAAAGCTGATGTCACTTAAAGATTTCCACACTTCCCTGTAAACATAATAAAATTTTATGCCTATGCAAGATCAATAGTTCATCCTAACAAACACACTCATCCAAAATGCCAACATGATCACTGTAATGTTAATTAAATTTTATTGTGACAATAAGTTAAGAATGGCAAGACTGAAGGCTGAGATGTTGATTTAAAGATGGAGCTAAATGTTTTATTGCTAGATTTGCTTATAGACAGAGCTAATTAGTTAAATTATATCTACATGTTTTTGTTACTAAAACAATTGTATTTGTAAAAGACAGTGCATTTAAAAGAAGGATAATTTTACATGCCTCTACAATTTGATCAAGTTATGACAAGGATTCAAGAAAGCATTTAATGAGGAGACTCATGTTAAAAAAAAAAAAATGGTTACACCAATTCATTGACTCTTCAAGATTTGTCAAGGTTTAAAAGACAAAAGCAGATAGTATATTGATTTATTAGTGTATAAATGTTTCCTGAAAACAACTTCTATTTCAATATATGTCTTAAAATATTCATATTGTTCATTCTATTTATTTTTTATTTATTTATAATATTTTTTGATACAGAGTCTTACTCTGTTGCCCAGGCTGGAGCACAGTGGTGTGATCTTGGCTCACTGCAACCTCCACCTCCTGGGTTCAAGTAATTCTCCTACCTCAGCCTCCTGAGTAGCTGAGGCTACAGGTACCCACCACCATGCCAGGCTAATTTTTGTATTTTTAGTAGAAACAGGATTTCACCATATTAGCGAGGCTGGTCTTGAACTCCTGACCTCGAATGATCTGCCCACCTCAGCCTCACAAAGTGCCAGGACTGCAGGCACGAGCCACCTCACCTGGCCCATATTGTTCATTCTGAACATTCTATATTAAGATTTGTATTATTTACCAATCCTATAGAAAGGAAAGATATGAGGCAAATAGTTAATGGTTTAATTGTTTCTGTTCTACAGTCCAACTGATATAAAAATATTAAGGGGTTACTTACCCTAACATTTGTTTATGATGAAATGTGATTCTGCACAATGGTGATCACTCAGATTTTGTCAATCTATTCACCTTCAATCTAAGGGCTGATATTAATAAGTCATGCCTCTTCTGATTTACAGCAAAGAGATAGAAAAAATTTATGTAAATGTGGATTTCATTCCCTCATTTATTCATTTAATTGCTATTTATTGAACACTGATTATCCTCCAGTCATTGCACTAGACATAGAAGCTGCAGCACTAAACAAACAGAGCTGGTTCCCACTGAGAGATCTTGCAGGACGGTGGAGGAAGACCAAAATGCAAATAAACATAGCACAGTATATAGTATATGAACATCATGACAAAAGTTCAGAGTGCTTTGAGAGCCTACCTGGGCAGAGAAAAACTTTCATGAAATCAAATGATACATTAGGCAGGCTGAAAGGACTGTGATCCAGGAAGGGGAAGTGCTGTGAGAAAACCTGGAAAAAGTCAACTATGGTTAGAAGTCTATAGTGAAGGAAAAGACGACAAAACCCTCAGTCTGTGCCAGAGTTTGGACTGTATACCAAGGACAACAGGAAACCTTTGAAAGATTGTAAGCAGAGAAGAAACATGATTACTCTCGCATTTCAAATCACTCTTGCTGGAGTGGGGAAGAGGATTTGGAAGAGAACCAGCCAAGAGGCTATTACAGTTGTGCAGTGGCCTAATGGGGAGGGGGTGAAGAATCTAGGACACAGTAGACCTTGGGAGACATTTAGTAAGAATCAATAGGACTTAGTGAATAACACTATGACAGTGAAAGACAGAAGGTGTCAAGATTGACAGACTGCCAGACTTGGGGCCCCATACTTATTTTTATAAAATACAGACAACTTCAAATCAATGATCACTAAAATATAGCCTGATACCTAAAAGAGTTCTCTTGATAAAATCTTATATAGTTCCCTTTTAGTCAGTAAAGACAAAAAGTTTAGATAGATCATCAAAATTTTACATTGAATAGATTTTTCTTTTTATGTATTTTAGAATACATTAACAAAATTGTGGGATTTGGTCACTTGAGCTGAAGCTATAGGCGACAGCAGTATTGAGCAAAGAGAAATGAAATTTTATAAACCTACTTTTTCTGATTATGTAATTTAAAAATATTTTCAACTGATCATTATTTGAACAATTATTATTTACCCATTCTGACTGTCTCTAAACTTTAACAACAAGTTGTAACTCTTGAAAGATAAACTGGCTACTTGTGTCTGGGGCAACAATTTTTTGTTAAAACTCTTAGCACACTATTCTCAAAACTGATTAATATTTAGACATATAAAGTAAAACCTAAAAGAGCACCTTTCATATTAGTAGCTCAATAAATGCTAGCTGAATCTGAAGTAAATTGCTAGAAAATGCTATGTTTGGGGTCATAAAGCACTTAATGCCAATTTGAAGTTAGCTATAAAAAAGTGTTCATATGGGAAACATTAACCTTAAAAATTAATCATGGACTTTATTATTTACCCAATGTCTGTGTATTTATTTCTGCTTTCACTAGGCAGAACACATGAATCCAGATTAGACATGGATCCCAGTAACAGTGCTACCATTAGACCATTATTAGCTCTGCAATCTTGAACAAGACTTAACTAGCAATGTAGTCACGATTTCCTCATTTGTAAAATACCATGACTGCCTTACAGAGTTATTGTGAAGATCAAGTAAGATAATATATATGAAAAGATAAAGCCTAATATAAATAGAAGATTAGCTTACTTCATGATTGGCCTCTAACTAAGTGTTATGATTATATATGACTTCTCTACAAAAGGTGGTTTGAAAGTTCATATTGATTTGAAATACAATTGCAACAGGTTTTATATTTGTTAATATATTTACACTATTAAAATATATCTGTACAATATGTTATATAACAGTTTTTGCAAGTGTCCCAAGAAATGACTGAACATAAACCAAAATAAATAAATGAAATCAGCTTAGCTTATGAAGTACTGATAATAAATGTTCTCATTTCAGAGAAGGAAGGAACCATTATATTTATTAAACATGATTGTAAAATAATAATCTTATATTTATACAAGGACTGTGTTATATATAATTTTAAAATTATCCTTGGCAATCTATTACTGTGACTTAGTGCATAGAGTAAGGCTCTTAGTAAAACTAAAAGGTCACAAACATATTTACTGAAAATTCGTGATGCCACTACATACCTTTCAGAATGGCTAACATGAAACAACAGTGAGACCAAATACTGACAGGTATGTAGAATGACTGGTGGGAATAGGAAATAGAATGGCTACTCTGGAAAATAGTTTGAGGTTTCTTATATATTTTATATACAATCCATTAATTGTATTCTTGGACATTTATTCCAGAGTTACGAAAACTTATATTTACACAAAACCGTGAATACTAAAGTTCACAGCAACTTTATTTGTAATAGAAACTGAAATCAGCCCCAATATTCTTTAACAGGTAAATGGTTAAATAAACAGTGGTGCATACACACATCAGAAAACTACTCAGCATTAAAAAAGGAATGTGTTGTTACACATAGAACCTGGGATAAAACTCTAGAGGCTTTACGTCGAGTGAAAAAAAGTCAATCCCCAAAGATTCCATACTTTATTATCTATTTATATAAAATTTTTTAAATCATAAAATTTCAGAAATAGAGGACACATTAGTGATTGCCACAGGTTAGGGGCTGGGTGGTCTTTGGAGGAAGGTAGATGTGGTTATAAAAGGTGAATAAATTGATCCTTTCCGTGTCCTGACAGTAGTAGTGAATACAAGAACCTACTCAGGTGATAAAGCCATGTATAACTTATACACACAAGAGTTCAAATAAAAATGGGGGAACCTGAATAAGACCAGTAGATGGTATCAATGTCAACTTTTTGATTATAATATTATACTATTGTTTTACAAAATGTGACTACTTGGGTTAACTAAGCAAAGTGTACAAGGGATTTCTGTGTATTATTTACTACAACTGCATGCGAATCTGCAATTATCTCAAAATTTTCAATTAAAAATTGAAATACATGTATTTGTAAATTAATACAGGGATTTGTAAATCAATAAACTCTAAAATCCAATTTTTGTTTTATTTTACACAAAAAGAAATATAAGATAAATATTTTGATATAGTTTTATTAATAAATATCATACCAAAAATAATGCAACAGCTCATTAGTTTTCTTCATGATGTATTTTGTTTCATTCAACTTTTATGTGATAGCAGCATATGTACTTTGCTATAAATGGTTCCTGTATGCAAATAAATGTCAGGGTTAGAAGACCTGCTGTTTATTCAGTTCAGAAATAAGAATAATTATATCTACTAATTAGTCATTTATTGAGTCTGTAAAACAATTATTTTATATATAGTTAGAATTAAGTTATCTCAAGAAAGTCAATTTTCAGAACAGAACATTGGTGGTCTTGGTTTTTATTATTGGAGTTAGTAAAAGAGATCAAATAGGTTTTGTGAAGCCCTTAGAAATTTCAAAAAAAAATTGTTAAATGTACTTTTTTTCTCTCTTAGGTTTTATTTCTCTGGCTGCAAAATGTAAATATTTGAATGAAAATGTGCCACTTGGATCCTCAGAAATTTGGGGAGAATTCTAAATTTAAAAGCAAATGCAGCTACTATGAAAAGCAGTATAAAGGTTCCTCAAACAATTAAAAATAGAATTACATACCAGCAGCCTCACTGTTGGATATTAATCCAAAATAATTATCAGCATCTCAGAGATATTTTCACTACCATATTCATTGCAGCACTATTTACAATACCCAAGATATGAAACCAACCTAAATATACATTGACAAATAAAAAAATGCGGCATATACAATGGAATATTATTCAACCTGAAAAAAGAAGGAAATCCTGCAATATGTGACAATGTGAATGAACCTTGAGGACATTTTATACTAAGTTAAATAAGCCAGGTCATGGAAAAACAAATACTGCATGGGACAATTTATATGAAATACTAAAACAGTGAAATTCATACAAGCACAGAGTAGAATGGTGACTGCCAGGGACTAGGGGCTTGGGGAAATGGGGAGTTGCTAATCAACAGGTATAAAGTTTAATATATGCAGATGAATAAAATCTAAAGTTAACAATAACATATTGTGCACTTAAAAATCTGTTGAGGAGACATCTCATGTTGTGTTCTTACTACAATAAAATAAAATAAACCAAATTTGAACTTGAGTTCTCTCTCACATCTTCTTTAGGGAGGCCTGCTAACCATAACTTCTCTGATATTTGCTCCTGACATCTTCCTGAAGTTTAAGAAAGCAGGTCAAGGCATTGTAGACTGAAAGTTTCAGGCGGCTTAAAACTACTTAGTAAGAGCCATCATTTGTAAGTAACCCCCTGAATAACAGATTTAAGAGTCTGATTAGTTAAGATGCAAAGTTTACACACAAGCCATGAGGGAGGAGAGAAAAGCAGAATCCTAATGCGGAAGTGAAAGCTAGCATACACCCTCAGTTACAGTAGAAGCTGAAAGATAGTAAGTCATGCTACAAGTCAATGGTCAAGTCAAGACTAGAATTACTTTCTCAGGTCATCCTTTTTCCTCCTCTTTCTTCAATGCTCAGTAAACTACTTAGTTTTCAAGTCTTAGACCAAATTCTGTTAATTCTACCTGGACCCCAGGTCTCCCTTTGTTCCCATAGTATCTCTCACTATTGATTCACTCATTTATCCACTTGTTCTGCAATGACTGTGTGCCCAATACCTAGTGCTATGAAAAAAAAAATCTCTGTCTTTATGAAACTGGTAGTAGTGAAGGAGAAAACAGATAATATGTTTTTAAAAAGCAAAATATAGGATATGTCAGTTACGGCATGTTAGATGATGACTAGTAAATCATCAGGGAAAACAGCAGGATAGTATGCATTTGTTGGGAAGGGACTTTTTTTAACTTTTATTTTAGGTTCAGGGGTACGTGTGAAGGTTTGTTACATAGGTAAACTTGTGTCACAGGGGTTTGTTGTACAGATTATTTCATCACTCAGGTATTAAGCCCAGTACCTAATAGTTAAGTTTTCTACTTCTCTCCCTCCTCCCACACCTAGAACTTCCTACAACTGCACTGCTCAACAATTTAATTTAATAGGGGTATGATTTCCCAAATGTTGCAGCCCAACAAATCCAGGATACATATGAAGAAAACTAAATCCTAAGAAAATTGAGGGACTAGCACAAAACCACACACAGTGTGAATTAATAAACCTCCCAAATCTACATTTCATAACATTCAAAAAAATGAAGTGCTAAGTAATACGTTTGATCAATTTTTGTCTCTCCTTATTCTGATTTTGTTCCCATAGTATGGCAAACTTTATATTTAGCACTACTATCATCAGCAATAGGAGCCTGAGAAGTTTCATGCACAGCTCCCTTGTACCTGTGACTATAGGCTAAGTTTAAGGTGTGTCTGCCTTCAAATACCTGCCTGCAGTGATATCTTATGTCCTAGTAAATCAATATACAAAGAAGAACTCCTTGAGAGTCTAAAGGAAACTACAAAAATAGGTTCACTTTGGGCAGAAAATATGACCACAGATCTAGAACTAGTATGACCGCTCAGTCTGGGATGATGAAATGGCCAATTTCTTGGTATAAAATTAGAACAGCACATATGGCTGAAAGCCATATCAGAGGCAAAATTACCACTACTTATGTGCTGTTACAAATTACAGATAAAAGATGATTGTACATATTATAGTTATCTAGTTTTCATTATAAGGACTAAATGATTTAAGATTACAGAAAAGCCAGACTGAATGAAGAGTACAGGACAGGTACATTAATGAAACATTCGCCTTTGTTGCTCACTGTTAAAAACCTTTCGGAGATGCATTGTTGACAGGGAACTGACTCTGGTTGTCATTTTGGATAATGTTTTTGTGAGTGAATTGATTATTGGTTCAAAAATACCAACACCTGCATTATGAGTCCTTCAGTGATTCTCCATTACCATTTTTAAAAAGCTCAAACTCCTTAGTATAAGATATAAATGTCTTCATGAGGTAGCTCTCCTCTTCCTCTCCACACATTCCACATCCTTCCATTCTCAGGTCTCTGAGGTTTCCTGAACATGCCATGCTTTCAACACCTACCTCAGTCTCTGCACATACTCTTCCCTGCACAAATCCTTCTTCCCTCACCTCCCAACAGGGTGAATTTCCTTAAAATAGCTTAAGTGTTATCTTCATTTGGAAGTTTTTCCCAACCCTCCTGCCCATACTCCCTGTGTTAGGTATCTCTTCCTCTTCTAAATACCACTGTTAAGCTTATCACACTATATTAAAAATTATATATGTACATATATATGCTGCACCTAAGAGTGTGTGTGTGTGCGTGTGTGTGTGTGTGTGTGTGTGTGTGTGTCACCTTCACTGGATCAAAACTTATAAGCAAAGTTTTATTCATGTTTTAATGAGCAATAATATAGAATTGAATATCTGAAAGTAAAACTAAAATAGTGGTAACATTTATCAAGTGCTTAATAATTGTCAGGCACACTTCTGAGGTTTTAATTCATGTATTGTCATAACAATCTAATCAATACATAACATTATTCCTATTTTACAGATAAAGAAACTGAGGTAGGGTGCGTTTAGTAAGCTGCCTAAGGTTACAAAGCTAGTAAATGACAAAGCCAGGATTTGATCCCAAGCACTCTGAGTTCAAAATGTATATTCATCACCTCTGTACTATGGCCACTTAATGTGTACATATATGTAAAGTGTTTTTAAGTGAATAAGTAGGCATAGATGTACAATCTATATGTAATGTATATATGCATATATGTATTTACTTGGGTATGCATATAAAAAACATTGGCTTTTAAGAATGAACTCTAAATAGCAGTACAAAGTTACTTCAATGAATTAGAAGTTTTGACAAAATACTATCTGATGTCCTAGAAATTGTCTTCTTTTCCATTGACATATTATAGTACTCTAGTTAATAATTGGTAGGCCATAGTCTCAACTACTCAGGAGGCTAAGGCAGGAGAATCACTTGAATCAGAGGGGTTGGAGATTGCTTTGAGCCAAGATCACACCATTGCACTCCAGTCTGTGCAACAGAATTCGACCCTGCCTCAAAAATAAATAAATACAAGTAAAAGAAAAAATAATAATTTATAAAATATAATATCAATGTACATATATTTTTAAATGTATTAAGTAGATATGCTTTGTATTGAGAATATACTCTTATTATGTACTACCAGGTGGCTTAGTAAAAATTTGAAAATTTAGGCACGAGGTAATCATTACAAGATTAGGTTTGCAAAGTACTTTGGCATATACAGACAATTACTGAATAAGTGTTTTATTTAGGAGAATATAAATCTATATTTATAAATATATTGAAATAGTGGTTTCTCAGTAACTTTTTTACATTTATTTTTAATTATTATTATTTTTTAAGTTCTGAGGTACATGTGCAGGATGTGCAGATTTGTGAAACGTATGCCATGGTGGTTTGCTGCACTTATCAAACCATCACCTAGGTATTAAGCCCAGCATGCATTAGCTCTTTTCTCTAATGTTTTTCCCCATCCCTGCCCTCCTACAACAGGCCCCTGCGTATGTTGTTCCCCTCCTTGCACCCATGTGTTCTCATTGTTCGGCTCCCACTTTTAAGTAAGAACATGCAATATTTGGTTTTCTGTTCCTGCATTCGTTTCCTGAGGATAATGGCTATTATTTTACATTCCAAAATTTTAAAGTCAGCATTTTTAATACAATAGGTTCCCAAACATTGGCATATACTGGAATCACCTGAGCATCTTACAAAAATACTAATTCTTGAAGCCAGGCATGGCGGTGTGTGCCTGTAGTCATAACTATTTGGGAGGCTGAGGCAGAGGATCCCTTGAGCCCAGGAGTTCACAGCTGTACTGAACCATGATCACACTTGTGAATAGCCATTGCACTCTAGCCTGGGCAATATAGTGAAGTGTATTTCTTAAAAAATAAAATACTGATGTGGGCACCACCACCACCCTCTTAATTGGACATTCTGATTTAATTAATAATGGGCTGAGTCCTGAGTATTAGAATTTTTTAAAAGCTTCCCAGTTGACTTAGATATGCAGCAGATTGGGAACCAGAATTTTACTAAACTTTCCCTAAATTCACTCTAAATTTTACTGAATCTCCATTATCACATTTAAAAGCAATCCTGCCAAAAACCTACAGCAACCATGCCAGAAATCAACATGCAGTTTCTCCTATCAACTGTATTACCTGGCTTCCATATTCTTCCAATATAATTCCTTTCCTCTTGGCTAATTCTCTTTATGGATAATGCAAATAATTTCTTTACTAAATCATTTATTCAAGGACACAGACAAATTTGCAACCTAATCACCAAACTTAATTATGCAGAATTTTACTTCATTTTAATTAAGTATTCATTTTCATATGCTTAAAACAGAAAAGAATACAGCTTGAACAGGGAACAGGTTGTTTAGAAAATGGGAGGTTTAAATAAAGGTAAAAATGTATAGAAAGAAAAAAGTTACAGGATAGTATCACATTTTATACTCCCTTCTCTACCTACTTATCCGTTCTAATCCCTGTTTATAATCTCACGTATTGGCTCAATTTAAAAGTAGTAAGTAGATAATATGTTTATGCTGATGTAGAGAGATGGAGATGTAGAGGTTTTATATGAGGAATAAGTCTTTAATGTTTTAAAGTCTTTGAGATTTATGGATTTAAAGTCCTTGAGATTTACACTGCATTTTTTAATTGCAGTGTAATCTAGCCAATCTTTAAATTCTAAATGTAAGTGTAATTGTATATGTAAGTATATATCTATTTCAGAAAAAAAAATATTACAAATTCACTTCACATGGAAATGAATTTGTTAGATTAAGAACTGGCATGTCCTACTCTATCCAAAGTGCATGTTCTTTACGATGTTTGTAAAACTATATGCAAGTTAAAACAGTGATATCTAGTCTATAATGCATGATGATCAAAGAGTTTTGTTTATCACATACTCATGCTGAGAATTCATTAAGCACTTTCACTATTAAATTTATAGAATGAGTTGTTGGCTCCATTTTACTGACACCATGAGTCACATTAATCAGTCTCCAACAGGATGATAAAAATCTGAATGTTGATCACTATGGTTCCGTTGTAACAAATGTATGACTAAATCAGTTATCTCATAATACATCACAACAAATACAAATTTTAGGGTGGAATTGTTCTTCAGACTAAATAGTGAATCATTGTGAAATCTAAATTCGTGTATTCTAGTTATTGACATAAACTCTGAAATAAATCCAGGCTTCATCTGTAGAAAATAAATCTAAAATAATAAACTCAAAAATAGTTAGATATTAAAGAAACTACTTGGATTAGCTAGCTAAAAAATGGAAAAAATAACTGTGTTTCCCTTTAATCATCTCTATTTTGAAGTATTTTAAAGACAGAAGTGAGAAATTGTATACAGCTCTACAATGTAATCACCAAAAGACCATATTGGGATGACTTTTTATTAAGAAATATAAGGTACCTATCACCGTCATCAATGATGAAAAGTGTGTCATGTATTTATTGATGTGTTGATTTGTATTAGTGTGAGTTAGAATTAGAGGGAAAGAATAATAAACACATTCTAGTGCACAAAATAATATATGAGAAATTTCATATATATGAATCATCAAAAAGAAGCAGTTATATTACTTCCCACTTCATACTTGTTTCATTTAAGATTATTTAAAATGCTGTTGGATTAAACTGCTTTCGTATTGACTACCCACCATATAAGACTCCAGCATGTACACAAATATACATATCTATTTTTATATATACTCATATAGTTCCTCAAAGATGATTTATTGTTAATTCATAGCCTCAAAATAATGAAATACAGCTGCACATTGTGATATATGACCTTTTAAGAACTATGTTAGGCAAAAGTTTACCATTCTATTTAGGCAATCTATATTTAGATAAATTAAAACATTTCAGTCTTAAAAGCATAATGTTAAAAAAACTAACTTTAAGTAAAATGGCTTAAACTATTTTATTGTAATAAAAATAGCTAAAGTTGAAGTAATATAATGTCTAAATAACTATAAAAGAAACAAAATGTCATTATTTATATTTTTAAAATAACTGATCAGATGTGGAGAATTTTGCATTTATACCTACTCTGTTGATTTCAAAGTTGCATTTTTCAATTCCATAACCAATAAACAGGTTACAAGTAGTCCTAAATGCCCCTTTACCAAATTCAACTACATCATCTTAATAATTTTTTTCTGCCCAGAGGCCTCCTATAAATTTTAGAAAGTCCCGCTGTGTAATTTGTAAAATCTAACCTAAAGTTAGAAAAAATATTTAACATACGTGAAAGGAAATTACATCAAAATAGTCAATACATGGATTAAATATTTATGGTGATATCTACTCTGATGAATGAATACTGCTATCAGGAAGAGGATATGACAGCTTCTCTCCTTCCCTGGAATATGCTTCTACTTCTTCTCTCTCAGTTTCATAATGCCAATTCTTAAAATCCTCCAATTTTGGATCATAGAGAAATAAAAAAGTTACTTGATTGGTGAGGATCTAGTGTTGGAACTCTCAGAACTAAACACTTGTTTAAGGTGATTCTTCTTCACTAGGTAGTTTTGTGATCTCTGTGGGGAAGTCAACATTGTCTCTCTCCCTTGCATCTTTAGTTGGGATATTTCTTCCTAAAGTTCCCCTGATAAGATTGAATGCAGCAGTCTTACTTAGTCCCTAATTAACTCACAGTATCTGCAGTTTCTATCTGCAAAGGTCACTTATACCCTCCAGACCATCCTCCTAGACAGGATCCAAGATAACACCATGCCAGTTCTTTCCTATAGCCCACATCCAGTCTATGGGAAAGACTTCTTAGATCAACTCTGGAAGTCCAACACAATTTTGCTCCAAAATAAAGGCAATTAGTCATTTTCTCACAGGTGAGTCCACCATATTCTGCAAACCCTCTCTTTAATTTTCTTAAAGACACACTCATGGAGAGAATCATGCCCACACCCATCCCCTTCTGTGAGAATAGAAATCAAAGCTTACAAGAACCTCTCTTCATAAATCTTACATCTCCCCCTCAATTTTGGAAAAGCATTTAAGAATGCCAACGCTATTTTTCTACTTTTGATATGGTTTGGATCTGTGTCCCCACCACATCTCATGTTGAAAGGTAATTTCTTGTTTTGGAGGTAGGGCCTGATGGCAGGTGTTTGGATAAGGATGGTAGCTCCCTCATGAATGGCTTAGCCCCCTCCCTTTGGTGATGAGTGAGTTCTCCCAAGATCTGAAAGTATGTGGTACCTCCCCACTGACTCCCTCACTCTTGCTCCTGCTCTGGCCATGTGATACACCTATTCCTGCTTCACCTTCTGGCATGAGTAAAAGCTCCCTGAAGCCTCCCCAGAAGCTGAGCAGATGTCAGTGCTATGCTTGTACAGCCTTCAGAACTGTGAACCAATTAAATCTCTTTTCTTTATAAATTACCCGGTCTCAGGTATTCCTTCACAGTACCTCAAGAATAGCCTAATACCAGCACATCTTGGTTTCTTATTTCAAGTTAAGCTTGATAGTCTTTTATTTTGGAATGAA